GGGTTAACTATGTTCTATTAAAATTTAGTTATGATAGTTTAGGGAGGTTTAGAATCAAAACATTTTTTAATATTTAGAATTTTAAGATATATAATTTAAAAATCTATAAGTAGTGGTATATTTGCAAATAACATCTCTAAATGGTATTTTTGCAATTTCTGCATGTTCATATAGTGAGTCTTTGTGGACTCTTTTTGGGTGGACTCTTTTTGGGTGGACACTTCTTTTTCCGACATAAACAGTGGAAAGATATATCTAATTTTTTTTTGTCAGATATATCTAATTTAATTTATAATTTTCATCCTTTTCATATTTTTTTTGTTAATATATTGATGAGTAAGAAAATGAAGATTTCCATTTGTCATATTCTGATTAGGTGGAGACAATTAATAATTGATTCCACGCAAGAAGACACCAGTGAGTGCAAACAAAAACATGTATTTCAACTCTTTGAAAATTCATAAGGAAAATCCCTTTTAGATATTGGTTTCTGTGCCGTTCTACAGTTTTTTTTTAATGATATGATTGATGTAATTAGAGATAATGTAAGATGGTATAATTAAGCGTAGAACTATAATTATACAATGATAGCTTGCTCTTAAGAGCTGATAATAGAATAGGAAGATGGGTTACCTATATAATCTAGTGTAATTTCAAAGATGGATCATTGTATATATTAAAAAAAAAAAAAAAGTAAATTTAAATAGCAATCAATAACCACAACTTTTCTTCTCTCACGATAAGAAAAATATATAGTGCATTCTGAAATTATATGAGAGATTTCAATCTTTTGAAACTGTACCGTAATAATCTATCTCGAATCTTTTTTTTGTTAGATTAATGAATCATCTTCAAATCTTTATGAGTCTTCACATTTCACTAGTCAAAAAGCGTTAGAAGCTTCATGGAAAAAGAGGGCATTGAAAAAGAAAGTTTAAGAGGAAATAATTTGTTCAATAATTGAAGCCTAAGAAAAGACAAATCCATATTTCTTAGTTTTTATATTATTTATTTGGTTTAAAATAGGGCAAGTGCATGCACATGACGATAAAATGTACTTATCAACAAATACAGGGTGGACTTCACTTAGCTTTTTTTTTGTGATATAAAAAATCTTGAAATATAAAAGCTAATTGCTTTGTTTCATATACAAAGGTAATTACTTTATTTCTTTTAGCTAGCTATAAAGGTTAAGTAAAGGAGAACAAAAAAACTCCCCACTTATGTAATCCGAAGGCGACAAGAGAAGAATCAAATGGCCAATAGTGAATGCTTTCAACAACCCAATTCTTGTAAAAAAAAAAATGCAATCTTAATATGACATAAAGTGGAGATTCATCTTTCTGTTTTCGTCAAAAAGAGTTTATCACATTTACGGATACAACAAAATATCAAAATATGGGATTTTCTACACATCGAATATGTGGAGTAGTACCGGGAAAAATACAATTAACTCCACCTTGATGGACACAACTCATGTGATTTCGTTGGGAGTTAACTCTCCCCGTCGGTGAGAGTATATATTCTCCAAGTCTTAATTTTGTCGTAGTGAGTTCGACAACACGTTTAGACTTGTCAAATTTGCATACTACAACCTAAATAGACCAATTTTAAATAATCTTTATACTTCTTTTATGTCATTAAACAAAAAAAAAGAATCTGTCTTAGCCAAAAGACTCCGACAGTAGTTTGGATCTTGTTTAAAGCATAGCAATATTGATTATATAAATTTGAGCAAAAATGATAATAGATCAATAATATTAAACTACGACGTTACATATTATGGTTATTCTCTACTTTTTTTATTAGG